AATAAGAGTACTGTGGTCGACCGTTTTTTTGGGCTTTTAAATGTTGAAGATGCAACTGCACAAGGTTTGTACGACCTAACCGTGAATTATTTAAATTTATTGAAAATACCTTTGGGGAATAAGGTTGGTGTTAAACAAAAGTTTCAACAAATAAACAATAATTTATTTTATTTCGGTTGCACCCTGAATTTGTGCTCATCTGCTGCTCCCAAGCAGTTGCCAGTAAAACTAGACAAGCTTTTAAGGAATGTGTTTCTCGTTTTTCGCCATAGCACATCGTAAAGATTTCAGAAATTTTCAAGATGCTTTCAATACCCTGCCACATAATATATTAGGAGTACGTAAAACGCGGTGGTTATCTTTGGAAGCAGCAGTTGAGCGCTTAATCGAACAATGGCAAACTTTAAAAGATTAGTTTTTATTGTTTTCATTTGAAGAACTAATGTCATCCTCGTCCCACATTTTAAATTATCTCAATGATACAAACTATGCTTATTTCTTATTACTGGACTACATAATGAAAAAAAATATATGCTTTTAATAGAGTATCAATCAAAAGGAACAGTTATTCATTTGTTACATTCACGAATCACAACATTTTTCAAAGACTTACTTCAGAATTTTGTAGATTTTGATTTCATATCTGCAGATTATAAAAATTTAGCGATGCTATTAAAAAATATTTCCTCAAAAAAAAAAATATTAAACATTTTCTATAGCCTTGGAATTTGCACTTTAACCTACTAAAATTTAATGAACTACAAAACTTCATACCCAAAGTTTTTCTAAACATTCTTAATAAAAAGGTTAAGATTTTCGGGTGCAAATGTTAAAGTTTGCTGAATTTTCATAATTTTTGTACGAAGTTTGAAATGTGGATTTATGTGGCGCTGGTTAGGTAAAGTGCTACAAAAAAAGTGCTATAAAAAATATAAACATTAAATAAACAAAAGAGAAATTGCCAAAACTAGAAAAAATGTCTCTTGACTTAATCAGCTGACCACTAGGGTATATTCTTCTTTACCGCGTTTCTTTCATTGCATTTTCGGGTTGAAGTGGTAAAGGTGTTTTTTCACAAAAGTGAAAAGTATCGCAAATAACGATAGTGAACAGTGTAATATCAAAGAACGTAGATAACAAGAAGGGACAACTCGTTATAATTGTGGCGAAAGTGCGCAACAGGGGCGTGCCTTCTCTTTTCATCCAATCAAAAAACGCAATAAGGCAAAAGAGAAGGCACGCCCCTGTTGCGCACTTTCGCTACAATTATAACGAGTTGTCCCTTCTTGTTATCTACGTTCTTTGGTAATATGTATATAGGAAAAAGTTAACTAGTTTCCGGTGGAATTGAGAGTCTAAAAAATTTTAAGTGTTATTGTTAGTTCTAAAATATACATATACCGCAAAATAAAAATAATTGCCTTTACTTCCCATTTTACCAACCTAGGGTACCACTGTCCAAAATAATGGACGCAGAATAACGGTAAAACTAAGAGTTTTATAAAATTTTTGATTGTATTTTTGAAATCAGCGACCCAAAATTTGCCGGTTCACAAATTTTCAGATTTTTAGCTTCGACGGTTGATTTTTGGTACTCAAATTGTTAAAAAAAAGGGTGCACACACTGGTACACGCCTCTAACCACTCAGCCACAGCGGTCTCCTTTTTTTTAAATACCAACATTTAAAAAATCAGTTTTCAGTATCGACCTGTATAAAGCGGGCCCAATGTGCGCCGGGTAAACGAATAACAACCGTCAACATTTTTCAGAAGGACTAGAGATGTGGCTGTCGAAAGTATCACACGATTGCAAGACCAAATTATATACATAGGTAACTCAAGAAATGAGTGAGTGACTGATTATTTGAGCTCATAAACTTTTTCGATTGGTCACTGCAACATGTGTTTTGTCTCCATTAAGCGTGAAAATTGTATATTCAAATTTGTTACCGTCAGAGCTTGAGCTGCTCGATTTGCTGGGTTAGTCATCACTGGGCACTGCACTGCTGCTACTATGCTCCCACGATCACGCACTTATGTACATAAGTACGTATCTACAAGGTTTTAGCACTTTAACTAAAAGGATTTTAAGCGTTTTTCAAACTTTTGAAATTAGCTTTTTAATTGATAGTACGTGTCATCACACTAAATAAATTGATTAAAATAATCAATGCTGGTGCAATGTGAACTTGAATCTTAAAAAAAGATACATCAAAATTCAATCGAACAACTGGTGTGTTTTGGGGGGTCATGCTTTGGGTTGGCTAATTTGCGATGTTCATGTCATCAGACGCTAATTGAAATGATCTCATCGGGCATGCGGAATAGACGACATTAAACCACAATAAATGATTAGTCATACAAGTAGAAAATGTTGCCGACTCTTCTTGCAAAGTGGTACAATAATTTACATTAAAGAGCTGCAAAAATACATTTGCTTCTTCTACGCCTTCAAGTACTCTTTGGATTGTACTCTACTAATAGAATGCGAATATCTCGGCACTAAGCCACTACTCTTCATTGAGAGTGCAAACACTAATCACACTTCTTCTGTGCACAAGTAGTATACTACTTGCCCCGAGTAAGGATGCATCGGTGTTATTGAAACATCGATAATATCGGTTCAAGATTCGATGTTTGCCATCGATATTTACAATTTTCTAACATCGAGGGCAGTTTAGCGATGTTTTATACATCGATTTTAGTGTGTCTAATCATTAAAAAAGGACCGACCCTCAGTCCGAATCCTTGGAATTTTAGGCGCCAGCGACCTTAAGATGGTTGAATTTTGATTATAATTATAGGAAGGGTGCAGGAAGTCTACTTAGTTAAATACAGGGAAATACATCTGTTCGCATGTATTTCTCTAATTGAATTACACAGACTGTATTGGCTAGGATTGGGAATAATTACATTTTTCTTACAATTTAACTAGAACTTAACAAATTGCAAAGCATCGGAAACCATTGATTTATCGATACTTTGATGGCTATGTATTTTAGCATCGATGTACATTTCTCCGATGCATCGATGAATCGATGTTACTCCCTAAAATTTGCATCCCTAGCCCCGAGTAGAGAGCTTGCTTGTGGTACTCCCAAGTACTTGTGTATTCGCAATTAGTTTTTGCATATTTGCGACTTGACCGACATTTATTTATTCTATAATATTATTAGTATTTATTCATAAACTAAAACTATACAGATTTCTTTAACATTGCCAAGTTTTCATTACCCCGTATTCATTATCTTATTGCAGCCAAGGCTATACCTGAAATAAATACATATTTATGTGCATATACCCCAGTAAAATAATTGATTGATTGAAATAATTATATGTGCAATACTTCAACTTCAACTAGTTAAATGAAAAACCAATAATAGATATTTGATTCACTAACTTTATCAAAAGAATATAAAAAACTTTATAAATATGCATTAGTTTATAACAAGATAATTTAATTGTACTATTATGTTGAAATTTTCGTAGAAAATATTTATTTGTGCAAAGAATCAGGTTTTAGGTTATCGATTATTTAAAAAAAAAGTTTTCAAGCAAATTTTATTTGTTGGTGTTTGATTGTATTTCTATAGCACAATTTTATTTGTTTTACGCTTTGCAGCATATAATAATAACAGATTGGTGCTTACACATATCTTAGTGTTTGGCCAAGCTTCTCCTCCGATTTGTGGCGTGCGCCTTAGCCTACAGTTTTTACGCCGACTACGAACGGCGATTGAATTTTTTTTGAGAAGCTGTTTTTCATGGCAGAAATACACTCGGAGGTTTGTCTTTGCCTGCCGTGGGGCGACCGCTGTTAAAAAAAAAGACCTTTTTTCTAAATTTTTTTGCGATGTTGCTTTGACCAGGGCTTGAAACCAGACCCGTGGAAACGCACCCTGCTTACCACTACACCACAGCGGACACATACATTTTACCGATATTTTGTATTTGTATCGATACATCGATACGATTTCACACATCGAGTGGAAGATTTTCGATGCATCGAAGCAAAACATGAGTCTTGCAAAGCCCTTGCATGGTCCACAGATTGCACGGATTGCACGGTTAAAACCGGTTTTCATATGGGACAGCTTTGCAAACCATGCAATCCGTGCACCGTGCAAGGGCTTTGCAGGACTCAGAGAATACCCCTATTGATATTTTCGTTGCATCGATGTTTTTCCGACATCCCTACTAGCAGTCGGTCAGCTTGCGTTCTACTTCATGCTGTAAGCATGGCATGCGCAAGTTATTTTGAGTACACACCCTGCAATAATCGCGACTACTCCATGCATGCGTGTAAAGAGTACTCCCTAAGGACCAAAGAGTACTCCAAAATTAACCACAATTCATATAAAAAATATGATCCAATTAACATTGCGATGTCCTAGGCCAGGACCATATACTCCATCCCTGCATTTCATCAGAGTAGCACAAAACTACTCCAACATATTAACAATCCCTGCAAAAATCGTTGGACCATGTAGTCTATTTGTGGTATATTGGAGTACTACAAAAGTGTTCTTCTGTCATGCTGTAGCGGACCAACTCGTGTCTCTGTGCCAGCTTATTGTTTGTTACCCGATCACTGCTCGTGTTTTAACGAAATGTGATTGAAGTTGAGCATTTGAAAGCACATTTGCATGTCTGGCTGTAGCTGAACGTGTAGAGATGCTCGCTGTTAGTTGTTAGCTCCCAGCATGTTCGGGTTCGAATGCCGTCAGAGGCAACAAAAATATAACAACAAACAAATCGAGTAAAAGGTCAGAAATTTTAAGAAAATGCAATAGCTTTGTTTTTATTCATACGGGCCAATATCTTAACTCTGTTTTTTATTAATTCTTACTAAGCGAAAACTTTCAGTTATTTTAATGGTTCACAATTTACCATCAGTACATATAATAATTTATTATAAACATATTATTTACGGCGGTAGATAAATACATAGCTTATATGGCATATATGTATGCATAAGTATCCCTAGAAAGGTTACTAACCTGCTTTGAAGCTGCCGCTGCTGCTGCTGTATGTTTATTTATAATGTTATTTTTCTCGTTTGCTGTCGCTACCGCCATTTTATCTGTTTGCTGCCGATTGTTATGTTGTGTGTCAATCGTTTGTGCTAAGCTCATATCACGGTTTTTGGTCAGGGACGACTCGTTAATATTGTGTATTTCGCCGAGCGTCATTTCTTTTTATTGCAGGCCTAACAAAACGAGACCAAAAAAAAAAAATTTTTCTGTATCTATATATATAAAAAGAAGTTACATTTCCTTGGTAATCTTATAACTCAAGAACCGCCGAACCGATTGACACAAAAATTTTAGAGTTCTTTTCTATCTTTGAGGAGGTGGTTTGTGTGAAGTTTTATTGAAATCGGTGCAGCCGTTCCTGAGTTATGACATTTTATGTGTCATCTTATATATAAAAATAAGTGCACGTTTTTGGTGTGACCTCATAACTTGAGAACGGCTTCACCGAATTCAACCAAATTTATGTGACATATTTGATCTATCATGCAGATGGTTTATGCGAAGTTTGCTTGAATTCGGAAAAGGGGGCGTGGCACCACCCATACTAACTAAAATATAAAAATAAGAGAACGTTTTTGTTGTGACCATATAACTTGAGAACGGCTTCACCGAATTCAACCAAATTTATGCGGCATATTCGGGCTATCACGCAGATGGTTTATGTGAAGTTTGCTTGAATTCGGAAAAGGGGGCTTGGCGCCTGTATTTTATATATAAAATTAGTGAGTTAGCTTATAACTTGAGAACGGCTTAACCGAATTCAACCAAACTCATAAAGCTAATTTGGGCCATAATGCAGATATTTTATGTGGAGTTTGCCCAAATTTGGAAAAGGGGCGTGGCATATGTATCTTATGTATAAAAATAAGAACACGTTTTTGGTGTGAGCTTATAACTTGATAACGGCTTCACCGAATTCAACCAAATTTATGCGGCATATTCAGGCTATCATCCAGATGGTTTATGTGATGTGATGTGTATGGTACAACAGCAGATACAAGAAAAATCGAAAACATAGTGAAAAATTCTTGCTATTTATGATGTGCTGTGTTTATTTTTTCTTCGGATAAATTAAGTCAAGTATAAACATGGCTGCAATAAAGTTCTCAATTTTTTTTTAAACATGATTTGTTTTATTTCAACCCGGCCTTGAGCTCAAAAAATTACAATATAATAATCAATTGAATTTATTTCAATAATTTTGCACAAATTTGTTGCATCATTTCGTACGAAAAGTTTCAAAACGTAGTGGAAAATTGTTGCTATAATGTGCTGTTTTTATTTCTTTCTTTGGATAAATTAAGTCAAGTATAAAAATCGCTGCAAGTTTTTCAATAGGGATTTTGTAGAACCAATGGAATGAAAGTCACCACAACACAACATATCTGTCGTTTCATCGTATTATCGAATAGGTGGTGTACATTGATATTCGGTCTTTCTATTTTGGACTCCACGATCAACACCGGCAGATGAGATCAATGCATGCTTGAAGTCTTCCCCTCCGTGGCGATATGTGCAAAAATTGACATTACACATAAACATGCGTGTTCAGTTGCACAAGCAATTGTTAGAGATCGGAAATGGCAAAGTTCGAATCGATAATACAAATGGCTTGATCACATTGCCGAAGAATTTTTGTACAATTCTCCAATTAAAAGAAAAATTTATTGAATGCGTGTTTCCAAATATTGCTCAAAATTACCTGTATCACGATTGGTTGAGAGAACGCGCAATACTGGCACCAAAAATGTGCATATCAATTCAATCAATTATCAAATTCTAGAAAAAATTGCCATATGAAGTGACAACATATAAATCTGTTGACAGCGCAATGAATCAAGATGACGCAGTGATTTATCCAGTTGAATTTTTGAATTCAATGGAACCGCCTGGTATGCCACCACATTGTTTGAATTTAAAGGTCGGCTCATCAATTATTTTACTACGGAATTTAAATGCTCTGTGTAATGGAACAAGACTGGCAGTAAAAAAATTGATGGCGAATTTAGTTGAAGCAACAATACTGACTGGGAAAGCGAAAGGTGAAATTGTGCTCATACCACGTATTCCACTGATAAAAACAGACATAACGTTTGAATTCAAGCGTTTGCAATTCCCAGTGCGTCTAGCATTTGCCATGTCCGTCAACAAGGCGCCAGGACAAACTCTTCAAGTATGCAGATTGAATTTGGAGGAGCCGTGCTTCTCGCACGGACAGCTATACGTGGCCTGTTCAAGAGTTGGCATTCCAAATTGTTTATTTATTCATACCCAAGATGGAAAAACAAAAAATTTTGTATATCCAAATGTGTTGGATTAAGATTAAAAATAAAGAATCAAACATTTTGAAATAAAACAAATGATAAATCTTCATATAGAAAAATTCCAGGATTTTTCATCAATTGTTCAATATTTGGTGTAGAGAAGCACACCGGGATACCGCTAGTACTCTATAACAGAGGTGGTCAAAGGAGCCTTTTGCACTTAGGAGTTCGCTTGCCTAAACTGAGTGCTAGACGAGCGATGCAGAGCCAGTATGAAGCGAAAAGAAGAGCATAATAAAATTTCTTATACTGGGGCTCACTTTACTAATACAAACATTAAAAGAGAACTCATACCCTGCAGGGAAAACCCGATTTAGAGTTCAGAACTAATTTTATCAAATTTTATTTTATTTTACTTTGCAAAACTACATATCGCTCATTTGCTGGAAGAGCGTCATATTCCCTACAAAATAAAATTTCGAGATGAGAAAATACGTAATCCTATTTAGAAAAAATTAACTTCTGGTCAGTTCAACCCCTTTCCGTTCGAAATCGGAAGTCGGTAATACCACCAAAAAAAGAGAGGCCTCGACTTGGTAATTCGTGTTTTTTCGTTTTCCAACAAAAAATAATTCGCCCATTTTCGAAGTCCAGGACGAGTTGAAGAGAAGGTCATTTAGGGGTTGAAAACGGCGCTTCTGAGAAAAAAGTTTCAAACAAAAGATACGTATTTTTATCCTTAGAATCTGAAGGCATAAATGCAGAATACCTACAATTCTCAAATTAAAAAAATATATATGGGCATGGATTGAGGTCATCGTAGCGGTATATTTTTTTTTTTTGGAAACAACAACTACAAGAGTTATAAACGGTCAAAGTTCAAATTAAGCATTTCTTTAAATCAAAATTTTTCAAAACCCCTTTCACGGATTTTGAAAATTTTGATGTCACTCGATAGAGAATATAATTCTCTTTAATAAAGCACATATGTTGTATATGCCTTTATTGGTCCTCACCAAGGCATATTAAATAAGGTAGAAGCGATTTTGACATTTCTCCACTATAATGTCAAATAACACTGGTCTACAAATTTCAACTTTTTTTCTGCGAATAAGACGGGACCTGGTGTTTCTGAACGGATTTTTCGTGCTGAACACGAATCCGGGGTCAAAAATGTCCCATCACGTCACGTTTTCGAGAGCCCTATGCCGAATTGATCGCGTGCACCCTTAAAGCAGGGGGTGTATTTGTGTTTAGGGGTGCAGGAAAAATTGATCACAGAAAGAATTTAATCTTAAACGATCATAGAAAATTAATAATGCCAAGGTTTTAACTATATTAAAAGTCGCTGATTACGAATCTGCAGTTAGATTTTAAAAATTTAAGATGACGGGTCGAATATGGTGGATATAAAAATTGGACTCCTAGACACAAATACACCCCCTGATCTAAGGGTGCATGCGATTAATTCGGCATAGGGCTCATTCGAAAGGGCACGATTTAGCCTTTAATTTCTGACATATACAAAGTTTGTAGCACGTCAGGGTTCAGCTCTACAATTTTTCAAAAATGGCCAAAAACGCTGTTTTTAGGGGTTTCAACCCCTTTTTTCTCGAAAACGTGACGTGATGGGAAGTTTTGGACCCCAGATTCGTGTTCAGCACGAAAAATCCGTTCGGAAACACCAGGTCCCGTCTTATTCGCAAAACCCTTGTAGACCAGTGTAATCAATAACTTTTAACTCCTTTCAAGTTGGCATTTTCTACATATTTTTCATTAAAAATTCAATTGCGTACCGTGAGATTATTTTGAATTGTGTGAATTTTTTTTTACCACATCCATTTATAGATAATTATACAAAAATGAGAAGGAGCAGGAACTACTAGCGTTGCGCTGTGTATAGCAAGAGCCAAGACGTTAAAGTGGTGTGATATTTTGAGGCGCCTATTGGCGAAGTTAGAAGACTTCGTTGGGAGAACAGCGGCGGTATTCAATTGGAAGATTCTTTAGTTTAACGAGGCTAAGTCTTTACAAGCCTCCCATGAAAAAATTTTGCCTAAAGGGCAGTTAAAAAAATTATCATATAAATTTAGAACAAAACATTAAATAATTTGCCGGATGTTTTTTTAGAATTTAATATTTAAATAAGAAACTAAACGCGCAAGAGCATTGGGCAAATAAAAACAAAAAATGTTTAAAACAGATTCATAAAATATTTTTTCATTTTATTTACGTGGTTTCCTTTATGACCCACTGGGAAAATAGGTAAGCACCTTACGAGGTAAGCCATGTTTTCTTTCAGTTTTTTGTACCAAAATTGTCATCATGGCC